TGGCCATGAGCGCAACGTAGCGCAAGACCAGGCCATCACAACTCGATCAACATTGTAGCCAGCTCTTGATGGACACGCTGAATTGAAGACCAAGTCCATCATAGGCTGACTGTAATGCTGACCGCGCTAATGTCCAGAACGAACATTTGAAAATAATTATCTGGCTTGTTTTGAAAAATTATTCATCGAGTTCAAATTTCTGAATAGTGAAAATGGGTTTGGAGTAGTTTTAAATACGGAACATTTTGATAGCGCGATCTAATTTTTACATGTGGCGACATCTAGTTAAAATTCTAGCCTAATTTAATTTGACGAGTGATGGATAACACGGTCCATAATTCGCGGAGATATACATAAACGACAAACATACATAAATTATGCATTTTTATGTATTTAAAACTACTTTGTTGTTATTATAACCTCCTTCTTTTTTGAAAATTTAAAGTCGGTTAAAATACAAATATAAACGTCGAAATTGGGACAAAAAAAGTCAAACAAGTCCAACTACTTATATCAAATTAAGTTCAAAGCAATAGCTCTAAAAAGTCAACACAGGTAACTTACCCGATTTATTATGTTGGGTCTGGGTATTCCATAATGCTTAGAGGCCTGATACCCAGACCATTTCCAACTTTTCACTGCTCTAACAGCCTCTAATAATTTTTTTGTTGGATATGACGCATTATTGGTTTTGCGTTCATAATTTCTGTGCATTTCGTAAGTTTCTGTAATCAAAATCATTAATTAATATACTTTATAACAATTATTAATTTAACCCTTAGATGCATGAATTTTTATTTTTGAAAGAATAAAATATATGTGTTAAAGCGTGACCTCCTGATCATAGGAAAAATAATAAAAAAATTATATCTGTATATTAAAAGTTTTATTGGCAAAAAAAAGTTGTTATCAATTTTGATAAACTATGCATTAAGAAGTTTTTTGCTTAGTGATACTAGAAAACATAAAGTACCCAAGTTTTTATACTTAACACGTTAAACGCCATGGTGGGCACCGGTGACCTCATGTATGTTGCTTTATTGCGCCATGGGGGACACCGGTGACCACATGCGAGATCTAAATTTAAAGTGCTTTTTTGCGCCACCGGTCACGCGTGTCGTTTATTTCGCCTATGTGAGTGACCGGCGCGGCGCTTGAGAGCAATCTTTTGCAGTGGGACACACCTGCCTAGTAAAATTTAGAAAATAGGTACTAAATTATGAGAAGTAGGGAAAAATACGCAAAAAAATGTTTCATATAAAATTTGGTTTTAAATATCGTAGTTTTAAGATTCAAAAGATACAAAAATCTTTTACAGTATTAATGTTTTAATAACATAATAATATATCAATCACAAAGAAATATCAATATTTTACACGTGGTCATAGAAAGGCTCACAAAACAATTTAGATAGTAATTTAAAAGTTATTATATTGAAAACAAACAAAAATTATTGTCCAAATTACGTTCGATGCTCTCTATTAAAACATGGCAGGCAATAATGTGGCTGACCATCACACTGCAAACAATAGGTAGGCACTTTCAGGGTCTTATTTTTTGCGTCTTTTCTCGACATCTTTTCTACATTGTTCTTGTAACAGCCGACACAAAATCGTCTCATTTTGCGTACAGGTCCCTATTTTTTTGACAAGTTCATGTTTTCGTCGTTTTGGACGTAATTCAAGTGCCAAGTTACCTGTTTCTGGACGTCCTGATTTAGTGAGATATTGAACGAGATTTTTTTCTATAATCTACTACTGAAATATTTTTCTTAGTGGTTTCCTTATACATTATCAACGCATTTACCACAGCTGTATTCAAGAGCAATTCTATGGCCAATTTTCTATACCATTTGACAGTTTTTCTCAGTGGAGTTGAATAAGCTGTCATCTGATCACTCATGTCGACTGAAGCTTTACATTTGTTATAATCAATAACCATCGCTGGTTTTTGCACCGCCTTGCCTCTGACATTAAATCGAGTAAATTTGTCCGTGTGCTTTGTAGACAGCATTAAAACATCTCTTTTATCTTTCCATTTTAATACTGTGATGTGACAATCGTTTTCTTGTGCTACGAATTCACCTCGTTTTAAATTAGTTTCTACTACTTTCCTAGGCAAGTACTTTCTGTTCTTTCTCACTGTCCCCAGGAAATGTGTATCGTTTTTTAGTAATTCGTACGCCAGTTCCAAGCTGGTGTACCAGTTATCAGTGGCAATGGTGTGGCCTTTATTCAAGAGTTCATCGCACAGGGATAATACTATTTTTGTAGGGGTATTATTCTCAATATCAATATTTTTTCCACTGTATACCTGTATTTTTAAAGTATAACCAGGATTTGTACAAACTTTAAACAATTTTATACCGTATTTGTGCCTTTTAGATTTGTTATATTGTCGAAAAGTGACTCGACCTCTAAAAGGAATCATACTTTCGTCGACACACAGTTCTTCTTTAGGGGCATAGTAGGCTTTAAATTTATCATTTAACAAATTCACAAGATACCTGATTTTTCCAATGCGATCGTTCGGATTCAAGTTGTAATTGTCGGCAAAGTGTAGGTACTGTAAAAGTAATTCAAATCTGTTCCTAGTCATCACTGTGCGAGGAAACGGTTGTTGAAATATGTCATCTGTACTCCAGTAATCACTAATTGATGGCAATTTCACAAGGCCCATGAATAAAATTAGTCCAAAAAATCGTTTTATTTCATGCTTATCGGTTGGCTGCCATGTATGTGAGCGAGAACATGGCTTGAAATCTTTATCTCCAAAGCTTTGCGTAGCAAACAGGTTACTTTGTTCAGCAATTATTTCAAACAAGGAATCGTCAACTAACAAAGAATAAAAATCCTCTGGATCTCCTTGACTTAAGTCTCTTGAAAAAGGAAACTTCATACCTGTGGGCTCAGTGAAGGGTATCACTCGAGCAGTGCATCCAGTAGGGTTCTTCCATTTTGTGTACGTGTTTGAAGAAGTAGGTAAATTTTGTAGGACAAAATCTTTTACTGAATCGCTTTCACTGTCCGAATTGATAACCATACGTCTTCTTTTCTTCGGAACATGTAAATTTTTAGACTCATCGTCTGCTACTGATGTCCCTGAACGATGTCTGAAGTGCGTTGAACTCCAAAGTCTCAATCTCTTGCAAATCTTCTTGCGACAATTCAAAGTCCGCCAAATCCATTTGAAATTCGCAAAAATCGCGTTCCTCATTATTAGGTACTATATTATTTTCTATCGCAATGAATTACTAAACATAACTAACATGAAATATGCTTTAGACGTATTCTAATTAGCCAAAAACCAAACGAACATAACCTCTCCGCGCAAGCGCCGGCGATAGACTGGAGCGCGGGGTGACCGGCGGGGTGGGCGGCGTGGCGCATGCAAACGAAAAATAACTTTTTTTGCTTTTGAGCGCCATGGGGGTCACAGGTGCCCGCGGCTAGTTTTTCAGCAATAACTTGAAAACTGTATTTTTGATTTCGATAAAAACTGATTTCTATACATATATCATGATTATTAACAAAATGACTACAAAAAATTTTTGGAGTAAAATCACATTTCTTACATGGCGTTTAACGTGTTAATGTTATTTTATTTTTACATAGCATGAAAAACTTGAAAGCAATTATTTTTTCTATTGTCACAAAGCGATATTTTGCACTTAGTACACATTACAGAAGTTAGTTTTTTGCAATTTGCATATTTGCACTGATTTCTCTTAGTGTTGTAGCTTTTGTCATGTCCAACTCCATCAGTACGGACATCGTTTGGTGGTAATGTTTGTGCACCAATCTTTGGTCTCTTTTTTGACGTATTTTCCTGTCTATTCATGCTGGGTCTGCCTCTTTTATTTTCAGATACGGCCCCATACTTGCACAAAGTTTCAGCTAGCTCCGTCCGAAAATCTTTTTTGAAAAAGTTTTAAAATGTTTTTTGGATTTGTTTTCTTTTTCAGTGAAACTTTCTTGTATAAAATCCAGCTGTTTATTACCGCCATGTCCAGCATATGTTGGAATAGTCTATTGGTCCACTTCTTGGACTTCATTCGGATCCTATATCGCCCTAAATAACTATCCATTGTGTCCACACCCCCCATATGTGCATTATATTCTTCAATTACTTTCGGACATGGTATTGATATGTTTTTTTTCTGCTTCTTGTCATAGCGGCTAATAGTACCCACAGGATTTGCACCTACATACGTAGATAACAGCAAGACCTGTTTGTTATCCTTCCAGCTAGTCGCTGCAAACTCAACACCATCAAGAGAAGCAACATTCTCGTCGTACGAACCCCTTGGTACAGATGTTTTCTGTACATCTTCCTTTTTTGGTAGCTTACAGGTTTTTCCTAATCTGTTTCTTTGAACTGTACCTAAGCAATATATGCCTTCCTTGTGCAAATGATGAAACAGAGTCAGGCTTGAATAAAAGTTGTCAAAGTACACTATATGATTTACTTTTCTCGGTACAGGTCGAAGCAAACGCACCACTGTATTTCAAACTGCTCCAAGATTTGGCTCATTTGGTAGTCTTTTGTAGTCATGAGTTCCTGAGTAAATTTCAAATGAATATGCGTAACCCATCAGACAACAGGGCACGTACAATTTGAAGCCCCATTTATGAGGCTTGTTGGGCAAGTACTGCTTCATAAAGTGCGAAATTTTAGTTGCGCACATCTGCTCATCTAATGAAAGTCTATGATCAAAAGGAACTGACATGAATCGTTGATTTAGGTGGTCCACTATTGTTCGTATTTTGTGTAATCTGTCATGTTCAGGATGTTCACGGGGTAAGTGACCTTCATTATCGTTAAAATGAAGAATTTCCCGAATTTTTTCAAAACGGTTAACGGTCATCGTATCAGCTATTGGATGGAATCTTACATTATTTGCCCAGTAGGATCTTATACTAGGATAGTGATATACCGAAGTATAAATCAAGATACCAATATATTTTCTCAGTTCCAGAACTGTCATTGGTTCAGAAAAATTAATATTTTTTTTGTATGGCATATTTATTAGATTCAGTAACGATTCTTGCGAGTAAACTTTCATCAAAAAAGTATGAAAAATACTGATAAGGAGTAGATAAATTCATAATAATCGGAGGGTAGTCAGTACATCCAAGAAATGTAAAAGCCTGATCCACCAAATCCAAATTCTTCTTTTTCCATATCAAATCCCGTAAACTAGGAGTGGCGTTGGAATGGGGCTGGTTTTCTACTAGTTCATCAAATATTAGTGGAGGATCAGGGGCTGTCCCATCATTTTCGGTCAATATTTCTTCTAGTATTTGGTTCTCTCTTTCAAGATCTGCTTGCAACTCACCGACATTATCATAATAGTCTAAGGCATCCTCGTCTAGATCACTTTCATCTTCTGATACCTCTCCATTTTCTAACCGCCATAAGAGTGTCGAAATGTCTTCGTCATTCATTGTCCGCTGCTAGAAACCTAAAAACAAATATTTGTTTAAAAAAAAAATAAAGAAACGAATCCGAAAAAAAACATTAAAAAATAATAAACCCATATATCGAAAAAGTTTTACCGCTACTGCATACATTATCATTTTTGATAACAAACTTCAAGCCCAAAAATTTTACCAAATGTACAATTTTATTGAAAAATTAAAACATGGACACAAAATATAGATACTAACCTTCCAAAAAATAATTTTTTTATTAGTTGAACACACTTTTATTTGTAAGATTTCTTCGGATGAAAATTACGAATTCGTTTTACTCTACAAACTGTCTGCGTTGTCATCGAAACTTTAAACTTTGGACCAATCACATGTAAGTATTTGAATGAACCAATCACAGACGAGTCTATGACATATAACGACACGTTCAGAAATCAAAATTTCCGGTTAAACGACTTTCGTTCAGGAATTAGGAGTCTAGAAAACCGTATTATCAGTTTTGATAAACTATGCACTTAAGGGTTAAGTAGCACTAGCTTCTGCCTGCGGCTTCGCACGTGTATTTTCGTATAAGCAGCCTATTATAAGTTAGGCTCTGTTCTAACTGTACGCAAAATTTCGTCTTGATCTGTTCAGTAGTATTTAAGATTTTATTATTTATATATATTATTTATTTTCACATTGCACAAGCTTTCGGCTTTAAAATATTAATAGGATTATAATTTCATTTGAGTATATTTTCGCATTACAGCAAGACATTTACACATTTGTGATTATTCATTCATTATTAGTTTAGCAAGAACGAACATTTGCATTCATTTAAAATGTTTATGGCTTCTGACATCGGGAAAAAGAAACAGAAGTGCCCCTTTCCTGGCCACGGCAGTTCCTCTTACCCCACTTAGTGATTTTTTGTTATGTTCTAAAGTACATGATATTTTCATATTAATAGTTAATATTCTAAACTTATCTACGCAATCAATCAAACATTAAGTAGGTACTAAACAATACTTACTCTCATTGGCAGATTTGTTAATGAGTTTTTCTGTATTAGATCACCACACAAAATATGCTACGCGCTACATGCTACATTTTTGTTTGTGTCATGGCGGCGCAATCATGAGGCTCAGCGACATCTGTGATTTTTATTTGAAATAAATTCGTTGTTCTGTTTTACTGACAGAGTAACCGCAGAGCTGCAGTATATTGTTTTTGATTTACAACTACCTGTTTCCCTTCCCCCATAGTTCCTCGTACCCTACAAGACCTTATAGAAAAATAAAAAAGATTTATTTTTCCTCATCCATTTTAAAGAGTAAGTGTTAAAGAAGATATAAGAAGACCACGCTCTCACAGAATACCAGCGTCAAATAGTAGCTTAATGCTGCTGTATTTCGTATGGTGAGTGTAGAGAACCGGAGACCCTTTTTACTGGAAATGAGGCATTCCATCTCAGTCCTCACGGGTGACAACGCATCTGCATTTTGATTTGTAATAAAAGATAGATGTAGATGTCTATGGGCCGCAGCAACCACTTACCATCAGGTGGGCTGTGTGCTCGTTTGTCACCCTATCCTATAAAAAAAAAAATTGTTCTGACATATTATGCTATTATTATACTAAATAAAGTAATTAATATTAATCGGTGAAATCATCAGCATTTTCTTAAAAATCACTGAATTTTAAATTTCGTATGTAAATAATCTCAATCAAAATATATTTTTATTATAAATACTGAAATAGTAGTTAATGCTGCTGTATTTAAAGAGAGAAAGACCTTTTTAGAAAATTCATCATCCAATCTATCAAAAGGCCACAGCAACCACTTACCATCAGGTGGACTGTGTGCTCTTTGTCACCCTATCCTATAAAAAAAAAAAAAAAAAAAAAAAACTTTTTTCCTTGGGGTCTTTCAAATTGATCACATTTTTTTGTTTCTTAATTTTGTCAGTGATTTCAGATATTTTAAGCTTTGAAATCGGCGCTCAAAGGGATATTAAGTACACTTTTGTTTAGTTATCTTGATAGGATCCACAAATACTGTATTTAAAACAAATTTTTACTAACTATTTAGACAATAAAATTTCCCAGTTGTGAGTAGTTAAAATTTGTGTTAGATAAGTCCAAGGACAATAACAGGTTTGAAATTACTGTTTTGAACCAAATAGTGTGTACGCGTGTACGTTCTGGAGAATCTGAGAATCAGAAAATTAAATTATTGTTTAAGGATGTAAAAAAGGACCATAAGCAAACCTTTATTCACTATATTAAGACATGTCGGTTTGGTCGGAGAAACTTTAGAAATATTACTCTGTAGCACAGATTCGAGTAGTTGTTACTCTAGCACTCCCAGCACTGAAAATATGGCGACGCCGAATTATCGAAGACATTTTTGTTTGTATAACTAATGTGGAGATTTTAAGACAAATTTTTCGTACGTTTCTAATAGTACTTACACCTTTTGATTGCGCAAATCGTCAAATTTAATTTTTTTTTAGAAAGCGACTACTTGCAGCGCGTCTCTTTAGCCTTCATTACAAACTATAAAAGTCTATTGTTGCTGAATACAGGCTTCTCCTTAGATCCCATAACATCATAAGCGGGATATTTGCCATAGTTGCTACACTCGTCGGGCGGGTCGGCAACCGTGGTTTATTTTTAAGCTATTGCATAGCTTCTATCGCGGGCCTTGAGCGCGGGGACCGAATCCAAGAATTCCGTAACGAAAAAAAACCTCACGCTCCCCACTCCGACGGGCACGGAGGTGTGGCGTTGAAAGCCGTGCATCGTCTAACGCTAACGTCGTTTCAGTTCGGCAGACTTCAGCACGGTGTTTGTGTGCGTGCGACTAGACGTATGCGTGTACACTAGCTGCTAACTTAATGATAAAAATTCCTGAATAACCTACATGTATTGTAAGATATTAAAAATATTTTAAACAATATTAACTTCTCATTTATTCAATAAGAGAAAAAAATTGTTTTCTTATCGGTCACCACGCTCAAAAAGTGTAACTTGATTTAATATCAAAGACTTAACTGCATAAATAAAATAAATAAATAATTATAATTGCATAAGTTGATAAAAAAATGCTATTCAATAGCTGTACCGCGGCAGTCACCGAGTGCCATACGTATTTTTTTTTCTGTTATTAGGAAGACGATGCTGTTCATCTCCTTCGCGACTTACTTTCCTCTATCCATTTCATTATGATACCCATACATGACGACTTGAAGACGACATATTCAGTAGTTCCCTCTGTCGTCTTTTACGACACCCACGAGATGATATGGGGTGGTGGATATTGTTACACCGCTTTTTTATTAGCTTCTATTAGCTTTTTTGTTAGCTTAAGACTAAATAGGCACGAGAACGATACTGGTCGACAATTGTATGGTTTTTTTCTCTCCCTTTTTCGACGTTTATCTCGATATTTGTATAATCAAAATATTTACTTTCATACCCGACGGTATGACTTTGACCCCTTGGGAGAGAGGCAAAGCCCAGTGTGGGAAGCTACTTGCGTTGACACTTTGGCGACCTCTCATCTCAAGGGTACCTCTTTTAGAGCCGGGGTGGCATCAGAGGCAACCGAATTTAGTAAATGGCGCAAATATGAGTCTTTGAGAAATGACTACATATTTGTGCCATTTGCTGTAGAAACCTTTGGTCCTTGTGGTCCACGTGCAGTGAAGTTCCTAAATCTGAGGGCTAAGAGGGCTGGTTCTTTCCTCGCTCAAAGGCTTAGTATATCCATTCAGCGAGGAAACGCAGCCAGCGTTCTTGGCACTATACCACGGGGAGCAGGACTTTTTGACTACTTAAATTTTTAGTGTTAGGTACTTTTTCTATATTACAATTTCTTTTTTTTATATTGTGTATAATTAGAATTAAAAGTAAATATTATAATTTTTATTATTATTTTTATTTAATGTTACGTAATTAAATTGCTAAGTAGGTCATGTATTGTATTGTATATCAAATAAAATAAATTTCTTTCATATAATTTTCATACCTAGTAAATTGATAGAATAGAATAGAATATTGATTTATTTGCATTGAATGTACGTATTCACAAAAAGGGTGTTGACAGAGTACATAAAAGATTCGTACATTCTACCATTTTGGCATGCAAATATTAAATTAAAATTTATTTCTATACTACACTAGTAATTAATTATTGGGTAAGGTTTACAATTCGGTCGCCTGAATTAGGGAGTGGGGGTGGTGTGGGGGGAGGGGGAGGAGTTATAGAGTCACCCCCTACTTCCACTTTCTGCCGGACGTGCATAGTTTTTTTTATAAATTTTTAAAAATCTCATTTTGAGGTTATGTTTCATAATTGTACAATTTTAACCTGATTTATGGGGAGAGAGAGTTGGGGGACGGAAGCCCCACGCCACTTAACGTGGTGCAGTCGAGGGAAGACCTATTCGCTTGCTTCGCTCGTTCACTCGACCCCGTCATCCCCTTCTAACCTAACATGTCCGAGTCGGGGTGCGCCACATCCTAGGCTCGCTTCGCTCGCTATTGCACCCAATATAACACCAAACCATTAACTTTTATAACTACTTTAATTTATAAACATAATTTATGGCTGCCACCATTTGTAAGAAAGGATCTTTGCGATATTTAGCAGTATTCCGCCGCCACAAATATTCCACTATTCACCAAATTATGAAACTTTGAAGCAACGGCATGACGAAAAACTGTCAACAAAATGGCCGGCCTAGCGATTAGTTTTATACATTTTTAAATCGATTCAAATCGAAATTGGATGAATCGATTCACAAAAAATCGAAATCGTAAAGATCGATTTCGCAAAAATCGATCTTTGATTTGCGTTATCAAAAGATACAATAAAGTACAGATAACATTGAGTGATTGAATTAAAAACTGTCATTCTTTACGAGTTAGGGTATATTCAACTAATTGTAAATAATTTTACAAATCATAATAAAACAGAAAAAGTTTCAATCTCGATTCTCTAGGGTGAAATATCGATTCACTAGATC